ACTATGTCGTGAAGTTAATCTTAAAATTCCTCGCCGGTTAGCCATGCGTATGCCAACTGACACTCCACAGTTGTTGCAAGGGCATTGCATCGTATCCGCGACGAGGTTAATCGCATGACCCAACGTTTGCAAAGGTCCAGACTAATGAAGACCGCAAATGAGCGTGCCAAAGATGGGTTAATGGATGATGCACACCAGTACTTCGCCTGGAGCATGGATGTTATGTATGAATCTGATATTGAGATATCAGATGATGATGATAATGAATGAAATTATTTGGATGAATGCCCAAACCATTTCTGTAATGCATGCAATTTGTAATGCTTATCCACGACTTATCAATGAAGGGAGAATATTTCAATTGTTTTCAAATAGTTCTTGTAATTCTACCTTAACTTTCTCTCCATTACTGTTATTTTTGAAGAACGCTACTTGTAACGCTACTTGAACGCTACTTGTAACTACCTTTACTTTCTTTCCTTTTTATTCATATTTCTCTCCACAACTATCCATTATGCAATGTTTACATTTTTTCCCATATTTTTTTTGTGTAAAATTTTACTAACCTGTAGCAACACAAGTGGTCCATCCAATCTCGCTCAATAATAAAATCCTATCAATTCTTATCCTTGTTTTCCTGTTTTCCTTTTCATTTTTATGGAAATCATCAAAAACAAGTAAGAATAAAAAATTGTAAAATTATATTTTTCGAATAAATAAGTATGGCACATTTACATCATCTGTACAAGTTGATTTACAAAACTATAACAAAAACTATAAATAAAATAAACTATACACTCCATACACACCCGCTAATGCCCTAACCTGCCCCAGTGCCACCAACTCGACCGTGACCTCCCTCTTCGGTCTCCTCGGTAGACTCCTGAATATCTGGCTCCCCCAATTGTAAATGCATATCCTGTGGAGCTTGTGAGTATGACCCCCCTCTACTGCATGTGCTGCCCCTGATCCTGTCTGTGGCCGAAGATCGGATACTGCTATGAGCTGTGAAACTCATCATCTGGTGCAACTGTATCACGATCACCCCGACCTCGGCCGCGACGTTCGCCACGACCAAAACCTCAGCCTCTCCCGCACCGCTCTGGGGTGGGGGGCCTTAATATGGGCCTCAGCGTCAAGGTGGGAGATGTTAGTAAGAACTGCATTATGTGTACTCATGTCCGGTCGAACTGTCTGGTGGTGGTAACTGGGTGGTGGGGTAACAATGTCATGCATATATCGGGGCGGTGTCCAATTAGGTCAGGCACATAAGGTATGCCAGTATGCTGCGTAGGAAGTATGCCTAGGGAATCTGCAGATATGTATGGGTAGTATGTGGTGGGGTGACTAATGTCGAAGGAGCTGATGTGGCAGGCGCTGAAGTGGAAGGCGCTGACGTGAACGGCGCTGACGTGGACGGTGCTCATGTGTCTAGAGCAGCTGCTGAAGTGTGTACACCGTAGTGGCCGTAATACAAACGATCTTCCCGATGGGCAACCTGGAATGCCTGGTACAATAACTCCCGGATCTCTACAACGGCCTGCAAGGCATGCTGTCCATCACGTCTCAAATGGCGTCCCTCAGCCAAGTGAAACGACCTCCCAGCTCCAGCCACCTGAACAAACATTCAAACATATTATTAGGCTACAGTTGATTGAAAGTAAATCAAGTATGATTTTACTAATTATCTGACACATAATATGATACTCACCAATGCCTCAAGAATAAGGCCCAACTCTCTGATATCCAGACTCAAACACGTGGCTCGAATTCCCGACTAGTAGGTGTGTATGTCACCGATGCCACAACATATAAGGGTCGGAAGAGGGAATCACCTCATCGTTGTAGTCAGCCTGGAAGGGACGTTTGGTGTGGATTGTAAGATTGTCGGATAAATACGTAAAATGATTTAGACATCCGACGATTATAAAAAGTTAAAACTTAATTGAATAAACATAATGCAGGCGTATAGAGAATAAGTCAATTGGATAATTCAAGTGGGTAAAAATTATCGAGAATGACTCATTTTATAAATCAAATATTTTAATTTTTTCAAACATAATTCTTAAACAATTTTTTATTTTTATTTTTTTTATTTTTTATTTTTTTTTATATCAAATGTTTTGATAATAGCATTTTCCATGACGACTAGAAAGGCCTCTTTTGGCAAAGAGGTAAAAAGTATTTTTTTACTTCTAATTTTTTGTGGATCAAATTTTTTGACCTCTAATGTTTATATCAATTTTTTTGTGGATCACTTCTAAAAAGTCATTTATTTATATCAAATTTTTTGACTTCTAATGTTTTGGTAATTTTTTGGAAAAGAGGTAAAAAGGCACTTTCAGTATTTTTTTTACACGTTTTTCCAAATTTTTTTTATAAAATACAAAAAATTAGCTTTAACTTATTCCTAAAACAACCCAAAAAATTGTTTCTACTAGTTATAGTGGCCTGATGATGAAGCTGAAGAGATAAGCGAAAGAATAACAAGATTTAACCATATCGACAGGACTAAGAAGCAATCAGAAATTATATTTTCAATTCAAAAAATATAGACAGGATTCACAATTCAAAACCTAATTTGTAAAAAAATAGATAGGATTCACAATTCACAATGCAATAAATATAGACAGGATTCACAATCAAAACCCAAATTCCTGAAACCATAACCATAATTTCTGATTTCACAATTGAAAACCCTATAAAATATATTTGTAATTCACAATCACAAGAATGTCGTCGACGACCATCTTGGGTTTCACTCAAACTATTTGCGGCGAAGGACACGGCCACCTCTCACAACTGAAAATTTTCTCCCCTTCCCCTTAATTTTCTCCTCATTTTCTTTTAACTGAACTTGCTTTTCTTTTATGCCAAACATCCCCTTATACTTTCCATAATAAGAGAAAGAAAAAATGATTTAATGATCAGTTGGATCTATGGACTCGGGATAATTAGTACTAGACTAACCATGACAACTTTAAACATAGTTCCTTGTAATTCAATTTTGTATGACACTGATATATATTATATGATTCTATTTTTTTTAATATATCGTAAATATTGTTAGGCTGTGATTAATTTATGGAATGAAAATAAAAGGGAATGGCATGATTATTCCTTAAATATGTTTTGATTAAAAAGAAAAATTTGTGGAAAGTGAAAGTGAAAGTGAAAGAAAAAAAAAATAATAATTTGGAAATTTTGAAAGAAAGGGATAGAAAATTTGAAAATTTAATTATAGATAATTTTATATAGACAAAATTAGATTTTCTTGTGTTTTGCCATTTTTTTTCCATAAATTATAAAGTTAGTTACGATAATAATATACAAGAAAATTATTATTATTATAGATAATTATTTATTGATTATGTAAAAATATTTGTTCCAAAAAAAATCACATAACATTATTAAAAAATTTAACTTATCATAAATTCTTAAACCCTAATTTCTGAAACATATACCCTCATTTCTGATTTCACAATTTAAAACCCTAACCCTAATTGAAAAGTGATTTCACATTCATCAATTCAAAACCCTAATCCTAATTGAAAAATGATTTCACATTCATCAATTCAAACCTAATTCAAAACCAAAACCTTCATTTCTGATTTCACATTCAATAGAAAATCATAACCCCCATTTTCTCATTTCAAACATAATATTTAAATTTTTCTAAACAGATTCACATTCACCAATTTTTCTTATCGTAGGGGCATGTGGCATCAATGGCATATTTTAAAGTTTTCTTTTATTTTTTATTTTTGGGTCAACATTCTAAGTAGTTAGATTTTTAATTTGTTAATAAATTTTAGGGTACTACTTAAAGGGTCACCCATAGAAAATATTAACAATCACAATCACTCTTTAAAAAAATGTAATAAGAAAACGAAAAAAGGCCTACACCGACATAAAATTCAATTATCTGACTTTTCTATTTTGCCATATCCGTATCTCATATATATATATATATATATATTTTGGAGATAGGGATATGGCAAAATAGAAAAGTCAAATAATTGAATTTTATGTCGGTGTAGGCCTGCTTAATATTTTCTATGGGTGACCCTTTAAGTAGTACACTAAAATTTTATTAACAAATTAAAAATCTAACTACTTAGAATGTTGACCCAAAAATAAAAAATAAAAGAAAACTTTAAATATGCCATTGATGCCACATGCCCCTACGATAAGAAAAATTGGTTTGACTAAATTTATGCACTAAATTCAAATCTAATCGTAGTTAAATATAAAAAGTATAGTCTACTTGAATTTCATAGCCCATTTAGGGTTGAATTTCATTTTCGAGTTTTTCCTCCTTAAATTTCATGACATTCCCTTTTATAAATTTGATATAAATAAATGACTTTTTAGAAGTGATCCACAACAAAATTGATATAAACATTAGGGGTCAAATAATTTGATCCACAAAAAATTAGAAGTCAAAAAATTACTTTTTACCTCTTTGCCAAACGAGAACTTTCAAGTCATCATGGAAAATGCTATTATGAAAACATTTGATATAAAAAAAAAAAAAAAAAATTGTTTAAGAATTATGTTTGAAAAAATTAAAATATTTGATTTATAAAATGAGTCATTCTCGATAATTTTTACCCACTTGAATTATCCAATTGACTTATTCTCTATACGCCTGCATTATGTTTATTCAATTAAGTTTTAACTTTTTATAATCGTCGGATGTCTAAATCATTTTACGTATTTATCCGACAAATCTTACAATCCACACCAAACGTCCCTTCCAGGCTGACTACAACGATGAGGTGATCCCCTCTTCCGACCCTTATATGTTGTGGCATCGGTGACATACACACCTACTAGTCGGGAATTCGAGCCACGTGTTTGAGTCTGGATATCAGAGAGTTGGGCCTTATCTTGAGGCATTGGTGAGTATCATATTATGTGTCAGATAATTAGTAAAATCATACTTGATTTACTTTCAATCAACTGTAGCCTAATAATATGTTTGAATGTTTGTTCAGGTGGCTGGAGCTGGGAGGTCGTTTCACTTGGCTGAGGACGCCCATTTGAGACGTGATGGACAGCATGCCTTGCAGGCCGTTGTAGAGATCCGGGAGTTATTGTACCAGGCATTCCAGGTTGCCCATCGGGAAGATCGTTTGTATTACGGCCACTACGGTGTACACACTTCAGCAGCTGCTCTAGACACATGAGCACCGTCCACGTCAGCGCCGTTCACGTCAGCGCCTTCCACTTCAGCGCCTGCCACATCAGCTCCTTCGACATTAGTCACCCCACCACATACTACCCCATACATATCTGCAGATTCCCTAGGCATACTTCCTACGCAGCATACTGGCATACCTTATGTGCCTGACCCTAATTGGACACCGCCCCGATATATGCATGACATTGTTACCCCACCCACCCAGTTACCACCACCAGACAGTTCGACCGGGACCATGAGTACACATAATGCAGTTCTTACTAACATCTCCCACCTTGACGCTGAGGCCCATATTAAGGCCCCCCCACCCCAGAGCGTGCGGGAGAGGCTGAGGTTTTGGTCGTGGCGAACGTCGCGGCCGAGGTCGGGGTGATCGTGATACAGTTGCACCAGATGATGGAGTTTCACAGCTCATAGCAGTATCCGATCTTCGGCCACAGACAGGATCAGGGGCAGCACATGCAGTAGAGGGGGGTCATACTCACAAGCTCCACAGGATATGCATTTACAATTGGGGGAGCCAGATATTCAGAGAGTCTACCGTAGGAGACCGAAGAGGGAGGTCCACGGTCGAGGTTGTGGCACTGGGGGCAGGTTAGGGCATTAGCGGGTGTGTATGGAGTGTATAGTTTATTTTATTTATAGTTTTTGTTATAGTTTTTGTAAATCAAACTTGTACAGATGATGTAAATGTGCCATACTTATTTATTCGAAAAATATAATTTTACAATTTTTTATTCTTACTTGTTTTGATGATTTCCATAAAAATGAAAAGGAAAACAGGAAAACAAGGATAAGAATTGATAGGATTTTATTATTGAGCGAGATTGGAGGACCACTTGTGTTGCTACAGGTTAGTAAAAATTTTACACAAAAAAAATATGGGAAAAAAATGTAAACATTGCATAATGGATAGTTGTGGAGAGAAATATGAATAAAAAGGAAAGAAAGTAAAGGTAGAATTACAAGTAGCGTTCAAGTAGCGTTACAAGTAGCGTTCTTCAAAATAACAGTAATGGAGAGAAAGTAAAGGTAGAATTACAAGAACTATTTGAAAACAATTGAAATATCTCCCTTCATTGATAAGTCGTGGATAAGCATTACAAATTGCATGCATTACAAAAATGGTTTGGGCGTTCATCCAAACAATTTCATTCATTATAATCATCATCTGACATCTCAATATCAGATTCATACATAACATCCATACTCCAGGCGAAGTACTGGTGTGCATCATCCATTAACCCATCTTCAGCAAACAATTTCATTCATTATCATCATCATCTGACATCTTAATATCAGATTCATACATAACATCCATGCTCCAGGCGTAGTACTGGTGTGCATACGCATGGCTAACCGGCGAGGAAATTTAAGATTAACTTCACGACATAGCTCAACGAGAACGTTTACTCGAGTTTGCGAAATTCCCACTTAGCTCTCATGGTATTGACGGTGGCACGTGAGTAACGCAAATTTGGATTTAATGGGTATTCAAATTCATCTCCATCTGCAACCCAATAGCGACCCATTGCTGAATATAGATCAACCACCGTATATCTCATGATGATATCGCTCGAAATAGCTGTAAAAGTTTTGTTGTGGTATGATGCGATATTTATACCATATATACACATGGTAGCTGTATGTCTGAAATTATTGTAATCAACTATGCATCAGAGTTGTCACGTCAATTTTTATGACCTGAACAACTATGTATCAACTTGATAGGAGTTGTCACTTCGACTTTTATGAATTGCATAATTTATTGTTATTCCAAAACAAAAAGTAAAAACATTAAAAAAATAATAAAAAAATAAAAACGTCTGAATTAGTCAAATTGCTTAAAATATTTTTAAAAATCAGTAAAAACTTTGGGGAAAAAACACGAAAATTAAGAAACTAGAATTTTCGGAAAAATATTTTATGAAAAATGAAAAGAACCAAGCTGATCAACCGACTAAATGTCTGAATTAGTCAAATTTCTCTGCCTGAATTTTTTTAAAAAAAATAAATGTGAAATTACAATTTAAAAATCTTTAAAATATTTTTAAATTTTTGGAAATATTTATTCACAAATTTGTTTTACTTTTTAGGTGTATTGACATATTTATTAATTTATTGTTATTTTGTTATGACACCCTCTCAAAATTTTAATGAATTGCATAATTCATAAGGGCACAGTAGGTATGGTACGATAATAAATTGTAGCTTGGCGCAGTGATACGTCCAACATTTGTCAGTGATGCTCGCCAGTGACTTGAACAGACGTAATAATTTGGATGCTTTGTTTTTTCCTCAGATGCTATGTGACTTTGTGCAGCGATGCAGTGATGCATCTGACTTTGTACAGCGATGCAGTGATGCATGTGACTTTGTGCAGTGATGCAGTGATGCATGTCACTTTATGCAGTGATGCATGTGACTTTGTGCAGTGATGCAGTGATGCAGTGATGCATGTCACTTTATGCAGTGATGCAGTAATGTATGTGACTTTCTGACTTTCCCATGCTTATATAGTTTGTCACTTTTTTCCTCACATTACGTGATGCATGTGACTTTCTGCAGCGCAAATAAATGCTTTATTTTTTTCTCACATTTCAGAATTCATCTAAGTCACATCAATACGACCACATGGCAATAGTGTTGATAAACAATTATGTGATGGACTGAAGGAGTAAAGTGTAATTTACCGAATATAAAAAGAAACAAAAAATGCAAAGAGGAGAAAATGGGATGACTGTGAAGTTTATTAAGTGAAAATAAGATAAAATATATGCTGCATAGTTCCAATCGTGTTTACATATCAGGTGACCATTTTATTATTTCGATGAAAAAAACAACGATAGTTTTGCAGGTCGAAGTGAGTTGGACGGTTGTGTATTTACTTGCACTCTGTTTCATAGTTGTTTATAAAGAATATTACTTTAAAACAAAGAAAATTTAAGCATTTAATTTCATTTATAATTTTTTGAAAACACCAATTTGTACTGAAATCGTCAATTCCAAGTGACTACTTACTGTATTAAAAAAATAAGCATGAAAAAATAGTTTCATGTGGCGATGTGACAACTCACTGCATGCTGTTTTATTTGACAACTCACTGCTCCAATATAAAGGGATTGCATTGTCATCCTCTGGCCTACAATTATGATTTTATCTGACAACCACGTCCGTGACTACATCACAAGTACACAAAGTCACGGGTACTTAGGATTGCATGAAATGAAAAACTAAAAAATAATATCACGGGTATCAATTCTTCCATAGTGCCCCAGCATGCATTATTGTCACTAGATCATCTCTAGTTAACCCTCAGTATGATGTCTATAAATAGGGACACCCCCAGTATGATGTTTGTTCAAGTCATAACAATAGTAATATATCTACAATTACTATTATTATTTGTTTGTTTATTTTATGAACAATGTCTTCAAGAGGTGCAGGAAGTTCACGCCAGCAAAGAAATCCGAAAATGTGGCTGATACCTCCATTTACTTATGACTACAAGAGCGAAAAGTACTCGAGTCCGAAGGATTATTATCCTGGTATCCGAGCAGAATGGGCGTTCAGGGTAACAGAGCAAGAAGGATTGTTTAATGATCTACGTAACTTTGGGGCACCAGTACCTCATTGTCGTTCATTGACCATGGCTAGACAAAATGTGAGTGACTATGAAAAAGCAGTTAGCAGAATTAAGAAGGAGAACAACAGAATGTTGATGCGGAGATGTCGACATTTTATGCTTCAGCTAACCACCGAAATGGCAGAAGCAAGCAACAGAGATTTGACAGTAATTGAGCGAAATAATGTCTTAAACAATGAAAAATATCTCTCTAACTACTACATGTCAGATGAGGAATGAGAAATCAAACACCTTTATCTTTCATATATGTTTGTATGTTGTCTCATATCTTTGTTACTGGAGTGTACGACAATGTTGTTGTTCATCTAACGTACGGATGTATTTCAAGTATTGGTTTTATGAACCTGAAGTTTATAAAATAACTACATTTATAATTGCACATTTATTAGTTCATGGCTTTCTTTATTGAATTGCAATGAGTTAATGAATGTTCTGGATTAATGTATGTTGAATTATGTGAATACTTAAAACACATAAAACAGAACAGGTAGCTTGGTGAAAAGCTTCCCTTAACTGGGGCTCGTGAAATAGGGATCCTGTACGTAAAGAATTTCAATCTCCATCAGGAAAGAAGAAAGAGTCGCCTTCTAATTCCTGGAAGTCAAGTCAAAATGATGACTCTGTTAAGGAATGAGGGGTTGACAGATAACTAAACTTAGGGGGCTGGACAAACAAGCTCAAAGCCAAGTGGTTGGTCTAGTTAGGGGACTAAATAAAGTTCATACAAACGAACTACTGCCTTGAACAACACATAAAACAGAACAGGTAGCTCGGTGAAAAGCTTCCCTTAACTGGGGCTCGTGAAATAGGGATCCTGTACGTAAAGAATTTCAATCTCCATCAGGAAAGAAGAAAGAGTCGCCTTCTAATTCCTGGAAGTCCAGTCAAAATGATGACTCTGGTAAGGAATGGGGGGTTGACAGATAACTAAACTTGGAGGGCTGGACAAACAAGCTCAAAGCCAAGTGGTTGGTCCAGTTGGGGAACTAAATTTAAAACCCAATTGGTTTTACTTGATTTGCTTGTGAAAATCACTATTTACAATTAATTATACACAAACAGATTGTTTTCTGCGTCTCAAAGAAATTGATGATTCTCTTAGAATAGAATAGCAATCAACGCAAGGCCAAAAATGTAAGAAACTTGACTTGTACCCAAATGACAACAAATAATTCAAATACTCATACTTTTCAATGAAATACACGAACGTTTGGTCGTAACAACGAATGATGCATAGCTAAGTGAAACACAACATTGCCTACATAAGCTTCATTTTTTATTACAGTCTCAATTCAGAAAGTCACATGCCAACAGTGAATTAACTTATTTACCTTACAGTG